GGGGGAAAAAAGAGTCATATAAAACATTTGTTCAAAAAATATATCATTTATCAATGACCAATCAATCAGTAAAAGCTTGAAAGACTCAGTTCTCATTCATTTTAATTGCACGCAAAAGAGCGACAATCTTTAGAATTTCTCCTTTTGGAAGAAATGGAAGAAAGTCAGTCAAGTATGGAAGCTTGTTTCTGCCACAGAATAAACTCAAAAACAATTGAGAGTTATAAACTCCAAATTCCAAGATATAAACTCGCAATTGCTTTTTTATTTTAACTCAAAAAAAAAATTCCACAGAACTGAGATATAAAGCCGCAATTCTGAGAAAAATAGTGAGATAACTGTGAGATAAAAAGTAGCAAATACCTTTTTTGTTTTTGTGTTTTATTCATGGCGGAAACAAGCTTCTATATTCGAGGGGGGTTGGAACAAAATATTTAATATTAAAGGACTCAGCAAGACTTTATTGGGGTAGAGTGTAAGACGTTTCAAGAGAGTCCACAGCCCTGTATTGTGCTAGGAATAAACTGGAGACATGACCACAGCCGTGGTATAATTTACACCTCAAATCATCACTCGGAAAACCATGTTGCCAAAAAGCCTTAGCGGGAGAGACTTAGGAGGGCACCTAATTGGGAGCAATGTCTGTCGTGGGTCAGAGCAGAGCGGTACAGATCTCCCTCTATTTTTAATTAATACCAGTGGGCTGTCACAGCCTCCGAACGAGAAGTCATAAAAGATGAGTGTGCAGCCAACCATTCAGCCATTTAAAAAAAAGGCACTACATTTGTTTGTATTGATGCCTCGTTCGTTTTCTGTTCTTGCTTCTCCGTTCACTGTTGTGGATCAAACAGTTTCAATAGGGCTGTTTGGTGAGCTGGACACGTTCAGAAATATTCCAGCAGCCCTTAGTTATGACATACAGTATATAAACGTGGGTCAGTATTGCACCATAACCAAACATTGACCATCATGTCACTTCTTCATCATACCTGCGTCATTAAAGATCAGTGCATAACAGTAAGTCACAAAGGGTTACCGTTTGACCACAAGAGGAAACCCCAACTATAATTTTGGTTGACATTGTGTCAATGAATGCATATGTAAATATGCATTACTTTAACGACAAGACAAGGCGATGTAGCGGTTATGGAAAAAAATTAATAAAGAATACCAGTTACGGCAGCAATCGATCTCCCCTCCGCCATAGGTCCGCCCATCTCGGGAACTTGGGTATCAAAATTATCCCCGAACTTCCCAGTGGTGAATACAACTTGAGAGGGAGTTCATATCCAATTTTTAACTAGGAAACTCATATTGACGATAATTCTGATAGCACGTGTAGGCAGCTGATTGGCTGTTTATAGGGTTGAAGCTGAACTATGCTGGACAGTGGACCAGGAGCAGGATTGGACACCCCTGACCTATATGATACAGTTCGATGGAAACATGAATAGGTACACAGCACTCTGGAAATTAATGTCATTTACTTCAGTGGCCGCAGCCAACGCGTGACACACTAATTAAGTTTTTCTGATATTTTCACTGTATTTCATCAAATTTAGCCTGAAAGAAAATGTGTTGAGGAGTTGATGAAGGTCATAAGCTAAAATTTGAAAAATGAAACCATATATTAAATGGTTCAGATAATATGGCATTGCAGTTTTGAAATAATTTTTGCAAGTGCTCATTTTTTTAAATATATTTCTTTTAAATAAGATTTTTTTTTATTTTTTTTTATTAAAACTAACCATATATATATATATATATATATATATATATATATATACTGTATATATATATATATATATATATATAGGTCAAGCATTCAGTTTAATTAAGTTTCCCTCAACAGTTTGATTATGATTGATGCTTATGAAATTCATGATTGATGACAAGTCATTAAAAGTTTCCCCAACTATTTGGTTATGATTAATGATGAGCCATGATTGACAGGTCATTCAGGAGTTCCATTACTAAATATATATTTTTTTAAAACCCAGAAATAACGATTTTCTTGGAATTCAGGGCATTGTAATTAGCAAATGGAGATTAATGGATCCATCAATAAATAACACCAAGCCTAACATCCCTCTTCTGACAAAATTTCCTTTGATTTGGGAATTCATCTAATTTAAACCCAATCCATTTATATGTGCTTTAAGTATATACTATTTTAAAATCAACATCAACTGTATTTGGAAACAATGTATTCTAACAGTATTCATGTAGATTGAGAAGAGAAATTAGAGAAAACATATCTCAAGATATAGTAAAAGCTCATCTGTGTCTCAAGAATGCCCAAGTAAGACATGCTGCACTGTCTAGAGAATACAATGAAAGAAACGTCATGCTGAATAAGCAGAGAGGTGCCCTTGATTTACCCAAAGTCTATAGGGGAACCAGATGGATCTGTCACCTGCCCAGCTTTGAAGTTCACAAACCCCTGCAGGATATCCACCAAATGAGGGATCAAATTCTGTTTGATGCCATTTTTCCCTCTGTATTGGAAGATGAAATAACGTGAGAAGATTTATTTTGTCTTTATTGCACATAGCTAGTGTCTTATCCTCAAGCCAGGATAATGAAATCTGAGGTTAGGGCTGCATTTCATAATAATGTTTGCTTAGACCTTTGGATTGCCGATTCATATGAGCCAATCTGAAGTTACTTGTCTATTAAAGACATACAATATTATGTAAGCCATAAAACCCCAAATTGCACAAGTATTAGTATCAGAGTTACACTTTATTTTAAGGTGACAGTAATATTATTTCACTACATGTACTAGAGTAGAGTTACGGTTAGGGTTTGGTTTAGGGTTAGTTACTTGTAGTTATGCATAATCTGTTTACTTTTTTACTTTGTTTAACTTTTTTTTACAGTGACCAAATCTGTCAAGCTCCAAAAAAGGACAAAAAAAGCACCATATAAAAGTATGTGACCAGTAGACAATATTCCAAATCTTTTAAAACCATTTGATAACTTTGTAAGGAAAAGTCTTTATTTAATAATAATAGCCCCATTTAAAATGAGAAAATCTTGTAATCCATTGAAAATGACGTGACGGTTGGGTGAGAATTTTCATTATGGTGATTTATTCCTTTAATGTTTATGTGCTGTAAAATATCAGCTCATGCTCACCTCAAGCTAAATGTCGCGAGTGACATGCTATAAAACTAGCCGATGCAGTCGACCATTCGGCTTCACTGACTGTTTCACAAAGCAGCTGGTCATGCGGTTGTCAACCGAACATGTTTTCTCCCATAGATGAGGAGCTCCTCAAGGTCCAGTGCACATAATTAAATGAAAAATTGTGCTATTATTTACCAGACATTAATCAAAGACCTTTTGCTCCATCTCTCATCACGGTCTCTTCTATTTTTCTTTGATTCTTAGAAACCACACTGACCTTTGACAAAGGGTCAAAGAAAAAACTACACCTCTGTGCCACAATACCATTCCATGAATCCAATCTTCTGATACCTCATGCTATATTGATTGACACTGTTAAGTGTTTGGTTCACTCTGAAAAAATATATGGAGGTATTTTCAGTTAAATATTTTTTGCAAAGACTATAAGAGCAGTACTTAGTTGAATTATAACAGTAAATTGATTTGCTGAAAAATAACACCTTAAACCAGCCTTGGACCAAATTGCAGAAAAAAATAAATTCAGTGTTGTAATCAAGTCTGGACACGACCGGACTCAGACGCAAGTCACTCTCAAGTCCATATTTCAGGCACGTTTAGACTCAGCTTCGAATAAACTGGTTTGATAGCCACAGAAAATAAGGCCTTGTACTCGGAACTTAAGCCGAACTTGATTCTAAGTCTAGACTTGTTCAAACTCAAGTACTAAAACACTGATTAGTTGGTTTTCAGTCTGGTTTAAGTTTGGTTAGCTGGTCTCTCAGCCTGACAAGGTGGCCAAAACCCTTAAAACCAGACTGGACAGCAGAAATTAGCCAGCTTGAACCAGCAAACCACCTTAGGCTGGATTAAGCTTTTTTTTTTTTAGTGGTGTACAGCATTGAAGGACAAAGGTTGTGTAAGGTTCAGAAGAGGAAAAGTGGCTGTGTTATGGTGGCATTCAGCAGTAGGGTGTGCTGTTTTGTAGCTGAATTCCAACTGACCTGGAATAGTAGGGTTATCTGACATTCACTAGTTTCCTACTCAAATCATGGGAGACTGGGGCTAATTGTCACACATGGAAGTTCGCAAGGGCTATATGTCAGTAGCTATAAGGTTCTGAGGCAAAAGTCCAATTGCATATTCTCTCTATAGCTGTGGCTTTGTATGTTGGCTACAAAGCAATATTACAGTAAATAATAATAATTAAAGAATTATGTCCTCCAAATTAAAATGTCAATATCTTATTTCAATAGTTGTTGCTTTTTTAAACTAACACAAAATAACATCTTAAAGTAGGTTTGAATTTTTTTGAAGTTGTCACATATATTTTATATGTAATTTTATCTGTAAATTATATTTATTAATTAAAATACTTTAAATGTTTTCTTTTTCATAATTTTGCTGTTTCATGAATTTTGTTATAATGTGACAACATGCCCCATTGGGTTGATTGATGTGTGTTCAATGAACTGTTTAATTGCTTTTTTTTTTTTTTTGCAACCAAGACTTTAAGGTATTTGCCTATAATTGATTTTCAAAAATAAACCTGCCCTGCGAAATATTCACAGGAGTAAAACGTGTGACAACTAGCACCCATCTCACTCGAGCTGTGAACAAACTGAAAATGCTACAGGGAGGAAGCTTTCGTGGAACAAATTAATCTTCTTACATTTTAGGTTTATCTTGAGCTGCCCTTGCCATATCTGAGCATAGCACACATAGATAAGCTTTATGCAAATGTAAGTGGAATTAAAGCAGAGACATTATGTTATTACAGTTCTAATATTGCAAATGAAATTCTTAAGGGTCCAGTTTATGACATCCCAATTTTTTATTACAATATCACAAACCAGAAATGGCACTGAGAGGTCAGGCGTTAGACAAGTGATGCAAATGATCACTATCACATACAAATCTTCCCTTTGAGGCACTTTGCTCATTGAATTTGGGGCGTGCTTACAGAGACACTCTTAGCTGGAGGGGCAGCAGCATGTTAGGTACCACAACTGCGCATTTCATCCACTGAGAGACTGCTGGAGGAGGGGATACGCATCATATATACCTAACCAACCGTCTTTTGGATCACTCTGCTGGTTGAAACCGATCACGGGGCACGTGTGTGCGGTGGATACGCCAGAGCGCTGTGATTCGTGGACTAATTGCGGGGCGCTTGCGGGAATACGAGGAGCATCTCTGTCCGCGAGAGGGAATATCTCGTTCTCCTGACCGTCTCCACAGAGTCTTCTATTTAGAGGGCATTTATTTTGTACTAAAAGTGAGAGAACGATATCAGGAAAGATGTTGCCGACGACATTATGGGGTTAGAGGTGCCGAGATTCAACCCATCACTGAATATGGAGTAAATTCCCACGTCTTCTCTAATTTTGACTGGGAATACAGTGAACGGGAGCGCATCACGGTGACTCGGTGAGTTGATTCATTAGCTAGTATGCACTGCAAGATTATTCAAAGTTAAACTGTTAGCTCAAGTTTTATTCGAGATGCCAAATAATGTAAATTATAGATTATCGAGATATTATGAATAATGATTTATTTTAAATACGAAAATTAAGAGCAGTTTTACACATGGAAACCTACAACGACCCCTATGACTTCTAGAATGCAATGAACTGATAATTAATGGGATTTAAGGAATTCAACGTTTTCTGAGTCTGACGAATCTTAACGATTCCACTTGCAATCTCTAAGCCTACTTTTAAGAACGGCATAGGCTATGCGGAAATAAAAAGAAATGCAATTCTTAATGAATTTTAGCCTTATCGGCAGTCGATGCGATCATTGATTTCAAAAGAACAGGCTATCTATTTAAATAGAATTCTTTCAAAAGGCGTTTAAACAGACTTTACCGACTTGTTTTAGACTAGAGTATTAAAAACACACAATGTGACATTCCATTCATTCAGTCATTTGATGCATAGGCTACACTATAGAACTCGTGTGTAGCCTATCAACACTGACATTTGAGTCTCAAGATATGTAGGTACAACATAGACTAGCAGTTCCTGGTTTGTTTAGCGGACATAAAACGTGCGATTCGGTTCAACTCACAACAAAAGAATCAGATCACTAGAGTCGTTATTCGTTGGGGAATCGGGCTACCCTGCTGCATTTTATTCACTGGGAAGAATCGGATTACAAAAATGAATCGTTCTTTTTGACTATAAAAAGAGAATCAGGAATCGTACTACGATCATCGCACGTTTTTTTGATTCACTAATCATAAACGCATGGTTCGAGAATCAATCAGTGTAGCGCAGCAGAATATTGTTTGCCTGAAGAATAGCCGGGGAATAGTATTAACTGCAGGACAATCTGTGTCAAATCAAAGCACTGAATTTAATTGAGGACTTACTTCTTGATCGATGATGGGCGGTTAGGTATGCAGGTGTGTGGTAGTCATAGTCCCTGAGAACATCCGCCATCTTGGCATGATGACCCATGTTCTTTGACCTATGACATATCAAAAACAGTGCAAAACAATTTAATCAGCTGTTGTTAAACCAATTTAAACAGCTTTCTTTGGGGGATATAGAAAGTGAACACTTAAAAAAGTGTATTTTCGAATTATATATGCGAATTCTGACAGCGCCTTATGCTTTTGTAGCAGCGGCACGTGTGATTTATTAGGTGAACTGCACACTGATCTCAGTCATGTAGGGCAGAAGATCACATGGGGCACACACATCACTCTTACTGCAGATAACCTCATATTTCCTCAGACTCAAGATACAATGTATAAGGGATAAAAATAAAAACTGGCAGGTGCTGTTCTTCAGCATCTCCATTCTGATACTAGTCGCCCGTAACACAATTCTCTTATAATAAATCCCTCACAATAGAAGCTACATGTATATGGAATTCCAAGAAGAGAAATTTCAAGGAATAGTTCTTTCCATGCCCAGCCCATTTGCTCTTTTCTAAATATATAATTGGTTAGATATTGTTCTTTAAAAAAAAAAATAGAATATTACTTGTCAGCATGAAAAACCATTATGTCTGTTGATGGTCCTGTTGTCAGTGAGAGGGTAAAACACATACTTGTGTAATACTTTTATGATAGTGATCTGATCTGGGTTGGTTGCTTTTGAAGTAAGCCCTCAAACAAGTGTTAGGTGGATCAATAAACTATCAGCCTCTCCTCAGATCAGCCAACACTCCTTCTATCGCCTGGTTTATAATCTCACAAAGGTGTGACTAAGCTTTGAGAACTTTAGTGCCATTATGTATTGCAGGAGTGAGACAGAGAAAGGAAGGACTCACATGAGAAAATACACATTCGGCTCTCTATCCACACCACATCTGCTATAGGAATGGGATCCTTCTCTCGTGTGTTCATGTTTATTTATGGATGCATCTGGGATGCATGTCTCATCTCATTTTGTTGCTAACAAGCACAGCCAAATTAGAGGTGAGAACACTGGGAAACAGCGATGTGCAGAATTCAGTCGAACCACTCCACAGCACAGCTTGGCTTCCTCCGAGACTATTTATTTCTCTCATTGTGGCGTATAAAGTTTATTTAAAGACTGACTAAAGATAAATTTGAACATGTGGGAGGAATTCATTAGAGATGAAAGTAATGTTAGTTTATATAATAGAGATTTTTTCCCTCTTTCTTAATATCCATCTTTCGAATTTGCTTTTTGCAGTCTGCATCACAAAATCTTTGTGCGTTTTCCATATCTTAAAAAAAAAAAATATATATATATATCTTTCATTGAGGCCTAAAGGAAAATTTCACCCCAAAATGAGAAATTGTCATCATGTTCTTCTAAACCCATGACTTCCATACTTCGTTGGAAGAGAAACAGAGAAGAAAGTATACTTGGTGACGCTGTATTTTAAGTCTTCTGAATTCAAGTTGTTATTTTTTTCACTAATAATCTTCCGCTCCAGTGAACCGTTAACTGATCAAATCATTAGGTAGTTGAACTTGAGAACGGGATCAGTCTGATTCATAAATGAATCTTTCTGAGTGATTTAATGTAACAGATCAAGCAATTAACTGACCATTTGCCTCAAAAGAGCAATATGCACAATATATCGGTACACCAAATCAGTTATCTGCCAACATTAGAGTTTTTTTTTATTATAATTATTGTTGGTGTTGTATATTTAATTGTTCATTTACAAACTCAGTTTTTACAATTAGATTGCAGTGTTTCCCACAGAATTTGATTCTATTTGCGGTGGTGGGGTGTCGGGTGGGGCGGGTTGGTTTTTTTCGGGTGGGTCGGGGTGGGTTGGTGTGGGGGGTGGTAGGGGGGTTAATTAAGGCACAACAAAAGGGTTAAATATATCATATATTTTTATTGACACGTATCTTTCTATGACTGCTCCACAGACTTCTTGTTGCAAATTTTGCACCCTTTGTTTGCACATTTAATTTTACGGGACTTTCTGAAAAAATATTCCAATGCCCTATCATATGGGAAGGCCTCAGGACAGGGTCCATTGATGGAGATCCTCAAGCAGGCAGCCAGGTGATCTCCTTGAAGCTGGTTTCGGAGGTCTGTTTTCACCTAAGGACAAAGCAACAACAACAAAAATTCCCACAAAATGCACTAAAATAAATAAAATGTATAATTTGATTGAATTTCGCAAAAACTCCCATTTATCACAAAAAAGGTTTTACGCTCGCGTGAGGTGGTTTTTCAGGCAATTCGGATTTTTTTTTTTTTTGCAAAACTGCAATGGAAACAGTTTTTGCGCATTTACAGTCACCTGACTTAGAAAGCGCAGTGTGTTTGGACAGAATACGAGACAGAGTTCTTTATTAAATTCATAAAAGACAAAATAATTACAGGAATACTGGATTCTAAACCTTAAAGAAATGCCACAATCAAGAGCTCGGAGCAGAAATGAGTGAGAAAACACCTCATATGTGCCGCTCACAGTATAAGGGTCTTTCCTTGTCATTAATGCTTGGATAACACGCGGCCTACGTCTCTTTACATTAATAGGCTAATGATAATAATGTCTAGTGCGGTGGCTGTGAAATTAACCTACCAACGTCCGTTGCCATGATTTTTGGAATGACTGATCGCGAGAGGAAAAAAAGGACGTTTTAGTCCCGCCGTCATTTCGCAATAGTTTTTTTATCGATATTTAGAAAAAATCTGTAATGGAAACGCGACAGCGTTTAACATAGACTAACTTCTCAGAGTTATGTTGTGCGTATACTAACCTTTCAACTCCGGGTCCGGATTGATTTCTGGAATCTTCTTCGCTGGGGAATAAGCACCATCCTCCTACGCATGCTCATGTTTTGATGCAGATCGTGCTCGAGGAGGAGGAGGGGATATTCGCGCGCGCGCCTCCGTTGTCAGTTTGTGTGTGTGAGAGTGAGAGAGAGGGAGGGAGCAAGCTAGCTGCGCGCAGCTCTACAATAAAATACTATTTACCCATATTAAATAGTTAAAAATTTGAAAATCAATCCGTGGCGGTCAGCGTTGCTATTGTGGCGGGCCGCCACAAATTAATGAATGTATGGGAAACACTGGATTGCCTTTGCCATTATCTAATGCTCACCTAAGGTTAATCTTTAAAAACACTAATGATTTAAGAACACTGTTAATCTTTTGGCAATCTCAAAATAAATTTTTCATACTGTAAATTGTAAGGTTGTGATGCTAAATTCACATGATTTTCATCTTTAGTGTTTTGTTTTGAATGTAATTTAACAAACTTTCAAGCTTCAAAAAGGATGCTAAATTATTATTTTTATTTTATGGCTGATAACCATACAATTGATGATATTAAAATGATTTACTATTTTGAGTCCCCATTCATTGTTGCACGAAAAGAGAGGGATGGATCGCTGGCTGCCATCTTACTGTTAAGTGCACTTTCTCTCCTTGCCCCTCAACACTAGTGGTGGAAAGAGTAATGAAAATGTTCACTAAAGTAAAAGCATTGCTACTTAAGAAACAATTCACTTGTTTCATGACTCAAAAAACATGACTCAAGAAGATGTGAAAGGGAACTCAATTTGGCACTTGTGCGCTTTTTTTGTTCTGCGCACACATCCAAAGCGAGAACAGAGAGACGCCTCTCAAATAGTGCACAAATGCTGAATTGATAATAAATAGCCGCGTTTCCACTGCCGGGCTAGGGCCGGGCCAGGGCTAACAGCGAGCCGAGCCGAGCCAGTGGCCTCGGGCCTCAAGCACCAGGCTTGCGTTTCCACTGCCGGGCCAGTAGCCCCGCCCTAAACCCTGCCCCTAACATGCCTTTCTGGATCAAACGTCATACAACGCAACCCATTCCAGCGGGTTTTATGAATTTATTTATTTTTTAACTTAGGAAGATAGCATGTATATTAACTCACCGACCGTGGCTGCAATAGTGTCCCGCAGCACACCGTCCATCAAGTCGATCCATGGAAAATCCCTTCTCTGAGCTCC